GCACAGCATGTAGCGCACAGCATGTAGCGCACGAGCATACCTGCACTCGCCCTCCCTACACCACTCCCCATTCCCCCTCCATTCGTTCCCACTGGTCATGCCAGGTAGGTAACACCACGGGCAGCACAGCATCAGCCTGCACCACACACACAGCATCAGCCTGCACCACACACACAGCATCAGCCCGCACCACACACACAGCATCAGCCTGCTCCACACACTCATACCCCCCATATTCTTTTTCTGATTCTGATCTATCTTTTTATATTTTCTTAAAAAGACAAATTTATTAACAGTATAGAAATAGATTAAAAAGTCATTAATGGAAACATGCTTAGCTTAACAAACTGTGAACACTACCAAATAGAAAATGGTAGTGTTCCCTGAAGCCAATGTTTTCAACACTGCACCTCCACTTACCCCTCACTCCATACACCGTTTTCCTTTCACCTCCCAATCACCCCTCCATCCATTCACTCACCTTCCCCATGCGGCCCCCTTCCCCCTCCCCTCTCATCTGCAGTCCCAAGAAGGGTGACGTATTAGGCTCATCCCACCCCTGCATGCATCCGCCCCATGCCACAACCCCGCAGGGCATATTCCACGACGCGGACGTGTTTGGCATCCTGCGCGGGGTGGCGGCGCAGCTGTGGGTGCTGTGGGAGCTGCTGCTGCTGGGCGAGCCGCTGCTCGTCATCGCCCCCACGCCCGCACAGTGCTCCGAGGCCGTCGCCGCCCTCGTTGGGCTCATCGCGCCCCTGCCCTGCTCGCAGGACTTCCGCCCCTACTTCACCATCCACGACCCCGACTTCCCCGCGCTCAACGCGCTGAGGGACGGCGACGCGCTGCCCGCCGTGGTGTTGGGGGTGACGAACCTCTTCTTTCTGAAAGCGCTCAAGCACCTGCCGCATGTGCTATCCGTGGGGCGCCCGCCGCACGGCGGGCAGGGCGTGGCGGGGGCGGCGCGGTACGGGGCGGGGGCGGGCGGCAGCTTGCAGCCGAACGGGCAGGTGGCGGTGAGGGAGAGCGCGGGGCGGCTGCCACATCAGCAGCAGTCGCCGCTGCGACGCCTGGCCACTGGCGGGCTGCTGAGGTAGGGGGCTGGGGGGGGAGGGTGTGAGGCATGGTGAGGCAGAGCAGGCATGGTGAGGCAGAGCAGGCATGGTGAGGCAGAGCAGACTACTGAGGTGAGGCATGGTGCTGAGGGTGGCGGGCAGAGGTGGTGTGTGTGTGGGACTGCTTTGGCTGAGGGGCAGACAGGGGTGCTCGAGTGGCGCGGCAGCAGCAGCCCCTGCTGCCGTGCCTAGCAGCGGTGCATTCAACCCCCACCCATTGCCCACCCATTGCCCACCCATTGCCCACCCATTGCCCACCCATTGAAGTGTGTGTGCTCTCAGGCTGTGGACGATGCAAGGTTGAGTCCAGTCAATGCTGTCTTACACCACTCCTTTCCCTCCCCTCCTCTCCTTACTCCCACCCTCGTCCATCCCCATTCAATTCCATCCATCTGCACCCACGCCTATCCACGCCCCACCCCTCTGTGTGTCCTGGCAGCATGCTGGCGGCGGGCAGCAAGGGCTTGGCGCGCATGAGGGGGGAGGGGCCGCTGTCACTCATGGGGGAGCACAGGGAGGCGCTGTGGACCAATCACGTGCCGGCAGTCAAGCCCGACACCGCCGTGCTCAACCGCCTTCTAGACGCCTCCACTGCTCTGCACCCCTCCGCCTCCCACCGCACTCACCGTTCCGGCTCCTCCGCCACCAATGCTGCTGATGCTGCTGCCTCCCCTGCTGACGCCACCTCTCTCGCCTCTGCTGCTGCAGCTGCTGCAGGGGTGGCAGCAGGAGGAGGGACAGGCGGTCGCCCTGCATCGGCGTCTGCCCCCCCATCCGCCGCGGCGTCGCTCTTGAGCCTGCCGGGCGCCGTGGCGGGCTCGCTGCTGGCGGGCGTCACAGGCATGCCACGCCTGGATGATGCGCCAGAGGCCACCACAGGGGGAGGGGGAGGCGGGGTGGGGGCGCGGGGGGCGGGGGTGAGCGGGGAGACGGTGGCGATGGTGAACAACGAGGTGCTGCGGCGGCACTTCATCGAGCTCACCACCAACTTCCTCGCCCCCTTCGGCCCCTTCCTCCGCGCCGCCGCCCCGCCGCCCGACGCCTCGCCCTACTGCGACCCGCCGCCGCTGCCGCCCTTCGACGCCGCGGAGTTTCTCGGGCAGCTTGCCGCCCGCGGCCCGGGGAAGTTTCTCGCGAAGCGGCTGCAGGCGGGCAGGTGGCTGGAGGTGTACAGAAGGTTCCTGGAAGGGCCGAACTTCATGCCGTGGTTTCAGCGGCGGCGCGCCGTGGCGGAGGCGGAGCAGCACCGGCTGTGGCGGGCGGCGCGGCTAAGGGCGGACGTGAGGAAGGCGGTGGGGGGCATGGGCGAGGCAGACCTGGTGGAGGCGTTCCTGTGCGTTGAGAGGCACATGGCGGTGGAGAGCAAGGTGAGGCACATGGCGGTGGAGAGCAAGGTGAGGCACGAGGGTGGGTGCTGTGTGTGGTGTGGTGTGGTGTGGTGTGGTGGTGGGTGTATGTATGGATGTGCGCATCTCAGCATTCACCCATTCTTTGTCAAAACCAGCTTCACCCCGGTGTGCATCCTCTCTTCCCCCCTGCCTTGCATCCCCCGGGCACGGTGTGTGTGAGCGCATGAGCAGGCGTGGCGGAGGGCGGGCGAGTCCCCTGCAGTGGGCAAGCTGAGGGGCGACCTGCGCGTGCTCTGGGCGCACATGCCGCCCGCCACGCAGCGCCTGCTGCTCCTCTCCCCCGCCCACGCCGCCTCTCTCCAGCTGCCGCCCTCCTCCGCCCCTGAGGATGCTGGGCGGGGCTCGTCGGCGGTTTCTGGGAGTGGTGAGTCAGGAGACGCTCGGTGGGGGCAGCGGGCGAGTGAGGACGCGGGGAGTGGCAGGGAAGGGGGTAGTGGAGCAGCAGCGGCACAAGGAGCAGCGGCAGCGGCAGGGGGGAGGGGAGGCGGGTGGGCTGGTTGGTTGTTTGGGAGGAGGACCGTGGAGAGCTCGGGGAGTGGGAGTGGTGCAGGGGAGAGGCGGGTGACAGCAGGCAGTGATGGGGGGCGGAGAGAGGAGGCAGCAGAGGCAGCAGGGGCAGCAGAGGCAGGGCGGGGAGGATCAGTTGGGGCTGCTGCCACAGCTGCGGCTCCTGGTTCCGCTTCTGCAGGCTTGGACCACAACGCCAGCTCAGGTGATCTGTCAGGTGATTCTTCAGGTGGTGTGGGCGGCAGCGGGGGGCAGAGTGGGACGGTGGAGATGGTGGAGGCAGCGCAGCACCTCTCAGCGCTCGTGGCCAATCTCAGCCTGCCACCTGTCATCGCCCTCAACGGCGAATCACACCCCTCATCCAACCCTGGCAAAGCCTGGTCTGAAGCTTCCAGCCCTCCCCGAGGCTCCTCTGCAGGCTTGGGCCGAACGTCAAGCGGCGCTTCTCCACGAACGGCCGGAATTGGGTGGGGAACGGACATGTGGGACGGCAGCAGCGTTGGCTTGACGAGCAGCAGCGCGCGGAGCAGCACGCCTGCCCATCCCGCCTCCACCACCCCCAGCAGCACCACCAGCACGGGCATGGGCAGCGCAGCACACGCGGCGGGTGCACGGTTCGCCGTGTCCCCCGTGGTGCCGTTTGGGCGGCGCCCCGGGCTGTCAGTGGGGCGCACGCCGCCACGCCTGTCGTCCTCTGCCCCCGGCACGCCCCTCCACCTGCACCCGGGAGGCACCTTCCTGCACGCCCGCCCCGTCCCCGCACACTCCGCCGCGCCGCACCCAAGGGGGGGGTACACAGGCGGGGGTGGCGCAGGGGCGTTAGGCGGCGAGCGGTTGAGTGCGTGTGCGAGCGCAAGGGAGGAAGCGGGGAGCGGAGGGGTGGGGGGCATGGAGGGCGGGGGGGCCATGGAGGGCGGGGGGGTGAGGGTGGGGCGCACGGCCACGGAGCCGGTGCTGCCGTCGTCCTTCCACCCGCTCGCTTGATGCGCCTCCCACGCCATGCCTCGCCCCGTTTAGGGGGCTGGCAGACTGGCGCACAGAGGGAGATGGGCGCTCCTCACTGCTCCCAGTGCCCACAGCATCAGCATTGCACGCTGTGGCAGCGCGTGGCCGTTGGTAATTCTGCCCGGGTGGTGCTGTGGCTGGCGCCCGCGCTCTCCAAAACTAAACACATGGCACCATTTATTGCGTCGGCTGGAGGTCACATAGTAGAACACCAGTAGTGAGTGCGTGTATTAGAGATTGAAGGGAATGCTGAGAAGATGCATGCCTCGTGGCGCCTCCTGTATGCCACAGCGCTTGTGAGTGCCTGGCGTACAGGGGAGCAGGGGATTGGAGGGGAAGGGGGTGGCAGCAGGAATTTGTGTACTTGCCGTTCCACTTGTGTAGTGCAGTGGGAAAATGGTCCATTCCATTGTGCTGCACAAGGGCGAATTTTCTAGTTATCACTACCGTGCTCACAAAGTGGATTTACCGCCAACTTTGGAAATCATAGTGCTTTCTGGTTTGAGAGTTTTTGAATTGGTCAGGTTTTACTTTCCGTTTGCCTGAAACTCAGTAAACAAATGGTAAAGAGTTGCCAGGGTATTGCAGCTAGATAATAAATCTCTTTTCTTTTGCTACAAGGCTGTACTAAATTGAACTGTAACCAGAGCATCGATTTTTCCCTAACGAGTACAGCACGAACCCCACCAGCACTGCGTAGATTTCATGAGTGGAGAAGCTGACTGCTACGCACCTGCACGCCATTCCCTAAATCGCCGCACCACTCGACGCCGCTGCGCAATCACCCGCCTCCAGCTCCTTCCCCTCCTTTCCGCGCCCATCCGCCCACGGCGCCTCCGCCAGTAGAGTCTCGATCTCCGCCTCGATTGCCCCGTAACAGCGCTCCTTCCCCCTCGCCCATTCTTCGCCTTCCCCGGACTTCCCCCGGCTTCCCCCGCCCTAGCCACGAGAAGCGTGCGGCGCCATGTCGTTTATGCGCGGCGATCTGCTGCAGAAGGCGCGGCTGCTGATGCGCGGCGGCGTGGTCGACCCGCCCAAGTGGCTCGACGCGCTCTCCAAGTGCGTGGGGAGGGGGGGCGGGGGGATGGGATGTTGGCGGAGGGGGGGATGGGGAGGGGAGTGGGGGAAGGAGGGGTGGGGGAATGGGGGGAAGGGAATTGAGGTGGGGGGACTGGGAGGGGCGGAGCAAGAGGGCGAGTTGCGGGTCCGTCACCGTCTGGAGACACGGGGAGGACGCTCAGTAGCCAGGCGAGCCGCGCTCGCCGGAGGAATGATGAGCTGCCAGCGCGCTAGCCGCCGCGGCCGTGATGTGCCGCGGTGGGCGTGCAGTGCAGTGCAGTGCAGTGCAGTGCCGTGCAGTGCAGTGCAGTGCAGTGCAGTGCAGTGCAGTGCAGTGCCATGCAGTGCAGTGCAGTGCAGTGCAGTGCAGTGCAGTGCAGTGCAGTGCAGTGCAGTGCAGTGCCGTGCAGTGCAGTGCAGTGCAGTGCAGTGCAGTGCAGTGCAGTGCAGTGCAGTGCAGTGCAGTGCAGTGCCGTGCAGTGCCGTGCAGTGCAGTGCAGTGCAGTGCAGTGCAGTGCAGTGCAGTGCAGTGCAGTGCAGTGCAGTGCAGTGCAGTGCAGTGCAGTGCAGTGCCGTGCAGCCCAGCGCCGGACCTCGTTCAGGATCATCTCATGCTTCCCTTTCTCCCGCCCATCCCCAGTCCCCTTCCTTTGCCCCTCCCTCCCCCTCCACTTCTCCCTCTCCCTCCGCTTCTCACTCTCCCTCCGCTTCTCCCACTCCGCATCTTTCCCGCGCCTCTCCCCCTCCCCCCTTCCTCCTGCTCAGAGTGCCTCCACAGCCCAAGGCGCGGCGCTGCCCCAAGGCCCGGAGGATAGAGTTCCCAGAGGACCCTCTAGTGGAGTCGTATTACGCAAGACACCCTGAGGCCAAGCTGCAGGCATACCGGTGAGGCGCTGCCACTTCCCTTGCTGCCGGGACACGTCTCTCATTGTACTGACCCCATCGCCCAATCACCCCCACCATGTTAGCCCATCTCACCCCACGTCACCCCACGTCACCCCTCGTCACCCTTGTCACCGCGTGTCATCGCATCGCACCGCTGTGGCAGGCTGCAGGGCTTCGACCCGCCAGTGGCTCGGCGGTTCGCGTGGCGGCAGCTGGAGCTGATGCAGCAGCAGGGACTGACCAAACGACAGGCCAGGGATGCTGTGGAGGTGAGCGGTGATGTGCGGTGATGCAAGGTGAGGTGATGTGAGGTGAGGCGATGTGAGGTCATGTGAGGTGGTGCGAGCTGATGCAGCGGGGTGAGCGGTGATGTGAGGTGAGGTGATGCGTCGATTTGCTGTGCGGCAGGGGTGCTGCAGTGGATGGCGAGAGGCGCTGTGGTGGCGGCAGTTCTTCACTCTCTCATCCTCGCCTCCCCTCATCCTCGCCTCCCCTCCTGCTTTGTCTCCCTTTTCCTATGCGCATGTCACCTCATTGTGCATGTCACCTCATTGTGCAATCGCCCGACCTCCACAACCCTTCATCTGATCACCCCCTGCCCCCTCTCCTTCTCCCTCTCCCCCCCAACCCCACCACCAGGCGGAGTTCACACGGGCGGAGCAGGAGGAGGAGGAGCGGGCGGTGCAGGAGTGGCGCCGGGCCATTCGGGAGGGGCGCCAGCCGGCAGCAGTGCGGTGCAGTGCGGTGGAGGAGGTGCAGCAGGAGGAACGCGCTCACATGCTAGCAGGCCTTGAAGCCATGGGGGCTCAGCTCGAGGCTGCTGCTGCCGAAGCTGAGGCGGAGGCTCGGGCTGCGCAGAGAAGCGTTGGGAGATAGAGCCCCCCGGATGAACGGCACAGATTTGTGTGATTGAAAGACAAGGCAGCCCTTGTGATTGAAAGACAAGGCAGCCCTTGTAGAAACGTTTGAGTTTGTGTAGTGTAGCCAGCAGGGAGGGAGGGTCTGCGGCATCGTGTTCTTTCAGGGCACGTGGAGATGACATTTCGAGCTCTCACGTTGGGTTTTTTCCAGTAGTTGGGGAATTCAAGTTATTGCTCAAAGTGCAGCACACACTGCACTGACTAAAGCCACTGCTGCTCACATTTCATCATCCTCATTGTTGCTGGCTCTGCTCCTTCATCTTGCCTGCTGCACTCTTGCTTGCGTTGAGTGCCACCGTGTCTCGTGGCTTGGAATGAAATCGTTCTGCCTGTGTATGTGTCGGGTCGTCTGCAGCAAGGCCATGTTAGAAGAACTACCGTCATACCCCGGATATGCCCCCATGGGGGGCACTGATAAAACATGTTTTTTTTAGGGGGTGGGCTTATAATATAGTAAAATTATAAGCGCCGGCGTTTATGTTATGTGTAAGGAAAATTCCTTTTCCTTACTTCGCATCCCTGCTCAACACGTACATCGCTGTAGCACCACAGTCAGCACCGTTACCACTCGCAACCCTCGCATCGACAATCCGCCCGCCACCTTCGCACATCGCACCCCGACCTCACGGCTCGGTGGGTAACCCGCGCTCCGGGCCTCCGCTTTGACACTTTTTCCCAAACCTCAGTCCCAGGCCCGTCGCGCGACAACCACAGTCCATTACCGTTACCACTGTAGTTTCGCTATACATTCTTCGCTCATGCCTTCGCTCATTGTACTCTTGCTTCGATAGTGCAATTCTCGTTCGTTCACTCAATTGCACTCGTAACACTTGGTATTCAGAGCCTACGATCTCCTCTCGGACCGCACCCACACCTTCGCTTCCCCACTATCTCATTTTTGGGGGGGGGTAGAGGTCTCTCAGCGACACAGCACCGCCGCTCGTAGTGCTCTCTCGTAAGCACGCACGGCCACGAACGAGGCTCTCACTGAGCTCGCCCGACACCCCCGCCATGGCCGAATTCACGCTCGCCACATTGACGCAGGAGCAGCTCGACCGTCTGGTGCGCCAACTTGAAGATTCGGCGCTCGAAATTGCGACGCTCACGGCGGAACGTGACTCCGCGCGTCAGCAATCAACGATGTGTCAGAATCCCAACCACTAGACCATTGGGATAAAAGGGCTTGTTCGTGTAGTGGGTGAGTGCGCCCATAACCCCCTAGGCCAACGTGCCTGTAACCCTTCCCTAGGATCAATCGGGGATCACCAGTGGACCTTTGACACGATGAACATTCCAGCGCCACCACACGCACCCACAAATGCATCTGCACAATCAGACGAGCCGATCGTCATCTCGTCCGGCACACCAACACAAAACAACAGCGTGGGACAGCGCTCAGGCGCAGCCAGCAATGGCGCCGCCCAGCCGATGCCTAGCATGGGAGGAAACAGGGTCGCACCAAGCCCGCAGGAGCCTCGCGAAGCCCGTCGGCACGTGGATTTCGCGACGACAAGTGGCGAACAGGCCATTATGGCACCAATGCCACTCAAGCCGCAACGCCCGCCCTGCTTCGACCCGAGCCAGCGTGGAGGTCCGACGGTTCAATCGTGGGTCTTCACGACGAACGTCTTCTTCGACGCGAATTACGTCGAGTCGGACGCAGCGAAGATTCGGTATGCCGTTTCACTGCTAAGGGGCCCTGCCATGGACTGGTGGCGAGTCATCGTGACGTCGCCACGCGCCTACGAGCCACCGTCGCAAGAGGAAGGGCCCACGGGCCCAACTGTCACCTGGAGTTCATTCTGCGAGACCACCCAGTACAGCACGTGGGATGCGTGGTGCGCAGGGCTTCGGGCGCGCTTCGAGCCGATCGCAGCTTCTATTTCGGCGCGTCAGAGATTGCACACTTGGCGGCAGCTTGGATCGGTTCAAGACTATACGAGTGGTTTTCTCGCATTATGCGAACAAGTCGGCTACATGCACAAAGCGGAGCGGGTGGACCGTTACGTCGGAGGGCTGAAGCCGGACATCTCGCATGACATCATGCTATGCGGGCTCTCGAACTTCAACGAGATTCTCGCGCTCGCCGAGAAAATCGACATTTTACGCCGTCCGAGACCGGGGTCCTACTATGGACATCGTCCTCGGGGACCGATCGAGCACGCGACTGTACGCGCTGTTGCGACGAATGCAGCTACCGCGCCGTTTAAGGGGCGCTGCTTTGCTTGCAATAGGCCGGGCCATCGCAAGAGCGAATACCCAGAGGAGCTAAGGCGCCGCGGAGCAGAGCAGGGGAGGGAGTCTTCAAATCAGGGAAACGCCAGCAGTCAGTAGGAATCGGGCCAACTACTGACGAGACTGCCTACTCGCCCAACCCCACCGACCCTCACCGAGTCATAGTACCGATTCATACTATCGATCGGACTCGGACGAATAAGGAGGGTACATCGACGGATTGCCCAGTACTGATCCACAAGAAAATACAGGGAGCAGCAGTGAAGATTTTTATCGACGGAGGAGCAAGCCACAGTTTAGTTAATACCGCAACCGCACGAAAACTGCAGCTGACACTTAGCCGTTGCTTACCGGAGATAGACGCACGCTTAGTCGACGGCACGCCACTGGCCATACGGGAAAAGGTAGAGAGAGTCAAAGTCCGCTGCGGGGGAAATTTCGGGTTTACACAGGAAATGCTCGCAACGACACTGGATGGGCACGATATTTTACTGGGACGTGATTGGCTGCGACGGTATAACCCGCGAATTGACTGGACGACAGGTAGCTGCACCGTGCGAAGTAGTGGTAATTGGGTCGAGCTACCTCGCTGGCAGTCGCCCGAGTCTTCAACGGTACACGTCAACGCCATCACAATGAAACGGGCTGTCGCTGCTAGAGCTAACGCGTAGGCAGTAGACATCGCAGTAGTAGAGGAAGCAGAGCAGCCGAGTGATTTCAAGAAACTGCTGGCAGCCGTACGGCCCGAATTACAGGAACTGTTGAAACGATACCCCGGGATTTTCCCCGACGACTTACCGAAAGCACTGCCACCTCAGCGAGCACATGACCACCGAATCGAATTAGAACCGGGGGCACAGCCAGCCGTACAGCGCCAGTTCAGACTGACACAGCTCGGGCTTGACGAACTAAGGAAGCAGTTGTCAGGCTTATATGACTTAGCCTATGTAGGCTATAGTGGGGTAGCACATATGGGGTACAACACATTTCGGGTTTGTACTTGTACCCAACTTTCACTTAGTCATTCTCATTCCTCGTTTCTTATCATGGTATCGAGCAGGTTCTCTAGTGGGAACGCTTCGCTCCTCCTCGAGTCGCGCCCCGTGTGCCCTCCCTACCGTCGCGCCCTCTCACGGCCCCTTCGCGTCGCCCTTAGCGGCCCCTCTCACGGCCCCTCGCGCCGCCCTTACGGCCCCTCGCGCCGCCCTTACGGCCCCTCGCGCCGCTCTTACGGCCCGTAACGGCCCCTCGCGCCGCCCTTACGGCCCCTTACGGCCCCTCGCGCCGCCCGTCGGCCCCTAGCGCCGCCCTTACGGCCCCTTAAGGCCCCTCGCGCCGCCCGTCGGTACCTTGCGCCGCCCTTAACGGCCCCTTACGGCCCCTCGCGCGGCCCCTTCCGGACCCTCGCAGCGCCCTTACGGCCCCTTACGGCCCCTTGCGCCGCCCTTAGCGGCCCCTCGCGGCCTCTTTACGGCCCGCCGCCGCCCTCCGCGGCACCTCGCGCCGCCCTTCATGGCCCCTTCGCCGCCCTTCGCGGCCTCTTGCGGCCCTGTCGCCGCCCTTCGTGGCCCGCCGTCGCCGCACCTGCAACAGCACCCGCCGCAGTCCCTACAACAGCAGCCGCCGCCGTCCCTGCAGCAGCAGCTGCCGCCGTTCTTGTAGTAGCAGCCGCCGCCGTCCCTGCAGCAGCAGCTGCCGCCGTCCCTGCAGCGAAAGCCGCAGCAGCCGCAGCCGTGACCAGCAGCAGCCGCCGCCACCTCCCTCAGGGCCGCAGCTGCCGCCGCCGCTGTTTGCAGCCTCCGGTGCGCCTCGGCCCTATCGGCATGCCTCGGTCCTTCCTGCGCGCCTCGGCCCGTCCCTGCCGGTCCGCCTCGGCCCTGCCCCACCACTTGCGGCTCTCTGCCCTGGTAAGTGTGTCGCTGCACTGCGCTGTCACTGCTGCCACTACTACCACTGCTGCCACTGCTGCCATCGCTACCCCCAGTGTCCTTACCTTTGATGCTGAGGGCCGTGCTGTTGACTTTGAGGTCTGGGTCGATGACCTCTAGCTGTTCCTACAGTGCGATAGGGCAGAAAGACTCTCTCTGTTCGATCTCACCTCTGGTGTCTCTCCTGCCCCGCCTGCTACTGCTGACAGCACTTTTCGCTCACAGTGGGCCACACGCGATGCTACTGCTCGCCTTGCTTTGCGTCGCCACTTACCGACCACTGAGCGTGCGCACTTTAGCCAATACAAGAGTGCTCAGACCTTGTACGACGCTGTAGTTGCACGCTACTCTTCCCTTGCCACCGCTGCACTGAATCGCCTCATGCTACCGTACCTCTTCCCTGACCTTGCTGCCTTTCCCACAGTCGCTGACCTCATTACGCACCTCCGCACTAGTGACACTCGCTACCGCGCTGCGCTTCCTGCTAAATTCTGCGCCAAGAACCCCCCCCCCCCATGTACATCACCCTCTACTACATAGTCACCCGGCTCCTTCACTCTCTTCGATTAGTCAGGGACCACTTCCTCTCAGTTTGCCCCACCACACTCACCATTGACCTCCTCGAGGAGCGCCTCCTAGCAGCAGAGAAGAGCATAGTCGCTGTAGGAGCCTCTCGTGGTGACCCTCGCACCCCCGTCTTTGAGGGGTGTTCCCCCTCCCCCCTCTTGCCCTCTATTGCTTCTGCTGCTGATGCCGACCTCGTTGGTTTCTACGGGGTCGGCGCTGCGACTGCCCCTAGCGGGAGACGCCACACCAGCAAGGGCAAGGGGGGCAAGGGAGCTGGAGGGGCTGGCGGGGGCGGTGGAGGTGGTGGTGGAGGCAGTGGAGGGGGTGGGGGTGGTGGTGGGAGTGGTGGCGGGGGTGGCGGCGGCGGTGGCAGCAGTGGCGGCGGAGGAGGCGGCGGTGGTGGCGGAGGGGGCGGAGGCGGCGGAGGTGGCGGAGGCAGCGGAGGTGGCAGAGGAGGCGGAGACGGCGGCGGCGGCGGCGCTGGAGCTGGTCGCAACTCTGCGCAGAGGGGGGGTTCCGGTGGTGGTCCGCACCAGCAGCAGCAGCGCAGTCGTGAGACCCTGTCCCCTCAGCAGCTGTAGTTGCAAGCTACTCCTCCCCTGCCACTGCTGCGCTTAGCCGCCTCATGCTGCCGTATCTGTTCCCTGACCTTGCTGCCTTTCCCACAGTCGCTGACCTCATTACGCACCTTCGCACTAGTGACACTCACTACCGCGCTTCACTTCCTGCTGACTTTTGTGCCAAGAACCCCCCCCCCCCCATGTACATCACCCTCTACTACATAGTCACCTGCCTCCCTGACTCCCTTCGCTTAGTCAGGGACCACTTCCTCCCAGTTTGCCCCACCACACTCACCGTTGACCTCCTCGAGGAGCGTCTCCTAGCAGCAGAGAAGAGCATAGTCGATGTAGGAGCCTCTCGTGGTGACCCTCGCACCCCCGTCTTTGAGGGGTGTTCCCCCTCCCCCCTCTTACCCTCTGTTGCTTCTACTGCTGCGGCCGACCTCGTTGGTTTCGAGTCGGTCGGCGCTGCGTTTGCCCCTAGCGGGAGACGCCGCACCGGCAAGGGCAAGGGGGGCAAGGGCGCTGGGGGGGCTGGCGGGGGCGATGGAGGTGGTGGTGGAGGCAATGGAGGGGGTGGGTGTGGTGTTGGGAGTGGTGACGGGGGTGGAGGTGTTGGTGCCAGCAGTGGAAGCGGTGGAGGCGGCGGCGATGGCGGAGGGAGCGGAGGCGGCGGAGGTGGCGGAGGTGGCGGAGGCGGCGGCGGCGGAGGTGGAGCTGGTCGTGGCTCTGCGCAGAGGAGTGGCTACGGTGGTGGTCCGCGCCAGCAGCAGCAGCGCAGTCGTGAGACCCTGTCCCCTCAGCAGCTTCGTGAGTGGTACGCTGCGCGTCAGCGCGGTGGGGGTACTGGTCCCTGCGCCTACGTCCTCCATACCGGCGACCAAGCTGGTGAGCAGTGCGGGGGCCAGCACTCCACCCAGCGCTGCTTTGGCCGCGTGACGGACGCGTGGCGTTACCAGTTCCCTGAGGCCTCTAAGATCCCTCGCTGGGGAGAGCTGTCTCGGGCGGGGGTTGCTATCTTTGATCTTGATTATGATGCTGTGTCTGATAGTGTTGAGGGTGACTGTTACCTGTATGTTCCGCCTGACCCGGGCATTGAGACTGCTGCTCTAGGTGCTAGTGAGGCTGCTGATCTAGGTGCTAGTGCGTCTGCTGCCCCAGGTGCTGGTGAGTCTGCTCTCTCAGGTACTACTTCGACTCAGGCCTTACACACCTTCACCCTTGACTCAGGTGCTTCCTGCTCCTTCTTTCGAGACCGCACCACGCTTAGGCCACTAAGTCAGCCGGTTGCAGTCTCCCTGGCGGACCCCTCTGGGGGTCCTGTCCTTGCTAGCTTCTCCACTGTCTTACCGTGCCCGGCAGACCCCTCTGGCACCCTGTCCGGTCTCTACCTCCCCTCGTTCTCTACGAACTTGGTGAGTGGAGCTGACCTACAGGATAAGGGGGTTGACCAGTTCACTCCTGCGAGTCAGCGGGTGACCCACTGCACGTGTGCTCGGAAAGGCCGACACTTGGCCACGTTTACCCGTCGGCCGGGGTCGAGCCTGTACACCCTTACTAGTGAGTCTCCTCCGGCTGACCTACACCCCACCTCGCGCCGTGTTTCGTCCTCCTAGGACGTCACCTTTGACGAGTCGGTGCCTTACTACCGTTTCTTCCCTTACCGCGCTGCGCCCCTTTCCCCGCCGCCGCTCTTCCTTGCGCCAGGTCCTCCCCTGGTAGACCCCCTCCCACCTAAGGGTCCTGCCCCTTCAGGTGTGTCCCAGGTAGACGTAGTCGAGCCTGACGAGGTAGCGGTTGACTCAGGTGCTGCTAGAGGTGCTAAGCCTGCGGGTGCCGGGTCTGGAGGTACCGAGCCTGGGGGTACGGAGCTTGGGGGTGCTGAGTCCGGAGGTGCTTAGCCTGGGGGTGCTGAGCCTGGGGGTGCGGAGCCTGGGGGTGCTGGGTCTGCTCGTGTGGCCTCTCGTGGTGCTTCGTCGAGGCAAGAGCCACTCTCTCCGCAGGAGCTAGCGAGTGGTTTGCCCGCCGCTGGAGTTGTGCTGCTGGAGCTAGAGGTACTACTGTTGCTGCTGGTCCCGGAGGTGCTCGTACTGGCGGTACTAGAGCTGCTGGGACTGGGGGTGCTACTGGGGATGCTAGAGTTGGTCCTGCTGGAGGTACTGCTGGAGCTGCTGGCGGTACTGGAGCTGCCGGTCCTGCTGGAGTTGGTGCTGCTGGAGCTGGAGCTGCTGGGGGTGTTGGCGCTGTTGGTTCTGCTGGCGCTGGTGCGTGTGAGGGTGCTGGAGTTGGCGCTGTTGGGAGTGGGGGTGCTGCTAGCGCTGGCGCTGCCGCTGGGGGTTCTGCTCCTGTCCCTGCTGGTTCTTGAGGCGCTGCGGGCCGAGGCCGTACTTCGTTCCGCTCCTTGAGCAGGTTCTTGGTCTCCCGCCCTCTACTGGTCGTGCTCCTCCCTTAGAGTGTCCACAGCCTGTCCAGTCACGGTCACAGTTACGACCCGCCTCCCCCCTTCCTGCTCCTCCCTACATTGGTCCTACTGGAGGTCTTGCTGAGCGTCGTGAGCCTGCGTCTTGTCCTGCGTCGCCTGTTCGTGCTGCTCGCACTAGTGGTCGTGCTTCGCGTCCGCGTCCTCCTGCCGTCCCGGGCACACACCAGATGGCACTGCGTCCTTCCACTGCTCCTCTACGTGTCCCGTTGCCGTCTCCTCCAGAGTCCTCTCTTCCTACTCTTGCTGACCCGGAGTCTGACTCTCTTTGTGCTGCCAGTCCTACTGTCACGCGTCTCCTGGCTACTGTTGTCACTGACTCTTCCTTTGAGTCCATTGCTGCGTCTGCCTTAGTTGCTGAGCTTGTCGACTTTGCTGCTCGCTGTCGTCTAGACTACGCTGCTAGTCTTGTTGCTGAGTCTGAGTCTGTCTGTCCTCCGTCCGTCGGGGGTGAGTGTGCTCTTAGCACGGACGTCCTTGAGGACAGGCAGGAGGAGTTCCAGTGTTTTGCTTCTGCTTTGCCTCATCTCGTGTCCACACCAATTGCCCCAAAGGGAGACCCGGATGCACCAAACATCCCGACTCCTCGATCGTACGTTGAGGCGATCGAGGGTCCCTACCCCTCACAGTGGCAGTCAGCCATGGACGCAGAGATGGCTTCCTCGAAGTCCACAGGCACCTACGTCAACGAGGTTCCCCCACCTGGGGCGAACATCGTCAGTGGCATGTGGATTTTCGGGTGAAGCGGCCGCCGGGTTCTCCGCCTCTCTTCAAGGCGCATTACGTGGCTTGAGGCTTCAGCCAGTGGCAGGGAGTTGACTACTTTCAGACCTTCTCTCCCACCCCGAAGATGACCACACTTCGGGTGCTGCTACACATAGCCGCTCAGCGCAACTACGAGCTTCACCCTCTTGACTTTAGCACAGCTTTCCTGTAGGGCAGCCTGCACGAGGAGATCTGGCTGCGCCGCCCACCTGGCTTCACTGGGCCGTTTCCTCCTGGTACTTAGTGGAGCCTCCGGCGGCCAGTCTACGGTCTCCGCCAGGCGCCCCGTGAGTGGCACGACACACTGAGGACTACACTTGCGGCTCTTGGGTTTGCTCCTTCTACTGCCGACCCGTCGCTGTTTCTGCGCACGGACACCTCTTTGCCGCCGTTCTACATTCTTGTGTACGTCGACGACTTGGTCTTTGCCACTACTGACACTGCTGGACTCGCCCACGTGAAGTCCGAGCTGCTGAAGAGACACACGTGCACAGACCTGGGTGAACTGCGCAGCTACCTTGGCTTGCAGATCACCAAGGACAGAGCACAGCGCACCATTACCCTGACTCAGTCACACATGGTGCAGCAGGTCCTTCGGCGCTTCGACTTTACGTACTCCTCGCCTTAGGCCACTCCTCTGTCTACTCGCCACTCGCTCTCAGCTCTGCCTTCGGATGAGTCCGTAGAGCCGAGTGGCCCGTATGCAGAGCTTGTTGGCTGCCTCATGTACCTGATGACCTGCACACGACCTGACCTTGCATACCCTCTTGGCCTTCTGGCACGCTACGTGGCTCCTGGTAGGCACTGAAATGTGCTCTTCGATGCTGCAAAGAGTATACTGCGCTACTTGTGCAGTACATTGAGCATGGGGCTCGTGCTTGGAGGGCGGAGCTCTGTTTTCCTCACTGGGCACTCAGACGCTGCTTGGGTTGACGACCTGGCTACGCAGCGGTCGTCACAGGGTTACATGTTCAGCCTTGGCTCTGGCTCTGTTTCTTGGCGGTCTACGCGCTCGTCTTCTGTTCTCAGCTCCACTTGTGAGGCTGAGATCTACGCAGGGGCCATGGCTGCACAGGAGCTATGCTGGCTCACCTACATGCTGACGGACTTGTGAGAGAGGCCTCGTTCTCCTCCAGTTCTGTACGTCGACAACAAGGCTGCCATTGCCTTGTGTCAGGACCACAGACTTGAACACAGAACAAAGCACATCACTGTGCGTTACTTCCTTGCTCGAGAGTTGCTGCAGCGTGGTCAGCTTCGTGTCGCTCACGTGCCCATCCGGGCCAACATGGCTGATGTGTTCACCAAGGCTCTTCCGGCTGGTGATCATCAGCGCTTCTGCACTGCTCTAGATCTGTGTACGGGCCACTCGGCTCTATGGACTCGTCTAGCGCGGGGCCTGAAGGGGCTAGCGCGGGGCCTGAAGGGGCCGTGAGAGGCTAGCGCGGGGCCGCACGGGGCCGTTCGGGGCTAGCGCGGGGCCGTTCGGGGGCCGTGAGAGGCTAGCGCGGGGCCGACGGGGGGCCTTAAGGGGCTAGCGCGGGGCCTGAAGGGGCCGTGAGAGGCTAGCGCGGGGCCGCACGGGGCCGTTCGGGGCTAGCGCGGGGCCGTTCGGGGGCCGTGAGAGGCTAGCGCGGGGCCGACGGGGGGCCTTAAGGGGCTAGCGCAGGGCCTTAAGGGGCCGTGAGAGGCTAGCGCGGGGCCGCGCGGGGCCTTTAAGGGGCTAGCGCGGGGCCTGAAGGGGGGGCCGTGAGAGGCTAGCGTGGGGCCGACGGGGCCTCTAGGGAGGTGAGCGCGGGGCCGAAGAGGTCGCTAAGGGGCGACGCACGGAGCCGTGAGGGGCCTTAAGGGGCGACGCGCGAGGGCCTCAGGGGGCCTTAAGAACGAGGCGCTCTGGGCGCAGGTAGTTAGGTCGGTAGTGGTGGGCCCTTTAAAAAAAAATCGGTCCTAGCGAAGGACCTGCTCTGAAACCATGTCAGAAGTACGAAACAGGAATGAATAAACTAGCAATGAAATGAGTACAAGTACCTAACCCTAGAATTGTGTACCCCCTATAGGCTAACCCACTGTAGCCTAAACTAACACAACATATATAATGTTTGACACACCCCCATAGGCAAAGTGGGGGAGAACTAGGGGTCACAAGACCAGTCAAGGCAAAGCAAGGCAAAACAAGCTCAGGGTGGATCTCAAGGATACCACACAAATTCCGAGCACAAGCAAGTGGTCACAAGACCAGTTCACATGCAGGTTTATAATAGAGCAAAAGGTACAATGATCACAACCTAACAAGAGTAAACATGCAGGTATATATATAGAGATCACAGTACAAACAGACTCAAGAAGTAAGCAAGTGAGGTCCAGTAGGCACAAGGCCTAGAAGAGTGCAAAAGCGCTGATGGTCACAAGGCTGAAGCGCCTTGGTGAACACATCAGCAGTGTTGGCCTCAGAGGCCACGTAACGCAGGTGAAGCTGACCACGCTGCTGCAGCTCTCGAGCAAGGAAGTAACGCAGAGCAATGTGCTTCGTTCTGTGCTCCAGTCTGTGCTCCTCACACAAGGCAATGGCTGCCTTGTTGTCGACGTATAGCACTGGAGGAGAACGAGGCTGCTCTCCAAGGTCGGTCAGCAAGTAGGTCAGCCAGCGTAGCTCCTGAGCCGCCATGGCTGTGGCGTAGATCTCAGCCTCACAACTGGAGCTGAGAAAAGAGGAAGAGCGAGTAGACCGCCAAGAAAGAAAACCAGAGCCAAGACTGAAGGAGTAACCCTGAGACGACCGCTGAGTAGCCTGTTCGTCTGCCCAAGAAGCGTCTGAGTGCCCAGTGAGAACAACTGGGACTCGCCCTCCAAGCACTAGCCCCATGCCCGACGTACTGCACAAGTAGCGCAACACTCTCTTAGCTGCATCCATGTGCTCCTTCCGGTGACGGCCGGGAGCGACATAGCGTGCAAGAATGCTGAGAGGGTATGCAAGGTCTGGTCGAGTGCAGGTCATCAGGTACATGAGGCAACCCACAAGCTCTGGATACGGGCCACTCGGCTCTACGGACTCATCCGAAGGCAGAGCTGAGAGCGAGTGACCGGTAGGCAGAGGAGTGGGCTTAGGCGAGGAGTACGTGAAGCGGAAGCGCTGAAGGACCTGCTGCACCATGTGTGACTGAGTCAAGGTGATGGTGCGGCGTGCTCTGTCCCGGGTGATCCGCAAGCCAAGATAGCTTGTCAGTTCACCCAGGTCTGTGCACGTGTGTCTCTTCTGCAGCTCCGACTTCACGTGGGCGAGTGCCACAGTGTCAGCAGTAGCTAAGACCAAGTCGTCGACGTACACAAGGACGTAGAACGGCGGCAGTGAGGTGTCGGTGCGTAGAAACAGCGACGGGTCAGCAGTAGAAGGCGCGAACCCAAGAGCCGCTAGCGTAGTCCTCAGTGTGTCGTGCCACTCACGAGGCGCCTGGCGGAGACCATAGACTGGCCGTCGGAGGCTCCACTGGGTACCAGGAGGGAACGACCCAGTGAAGCCAGGTGGACG